TAAGATGCAACGCGAGGATCTAGCTTTTGTAGCTCCAAAGAAGCTGGGCTTCTACTACTGTGTACTCCTACTTCTCCCGCTACTACCTGTGTTGCTGCTGAAGCCGGAATGCGTGGGTGAGAGCTTATATGTAGACAAAATTAAAGAGTATATTCACTTTCTTCTCTACGTCTTCCTAAGATTCGGGATCGCTTTCTGGTTCGCTTGGATTCACTTCTTCAGTGTCTTTGTGCTACTGATCTTGTTATAAATTCTCGGCTTTTGAGATTGTGGGATGATCATGGACAGTACGAGACAATAATAAATATCCAAATCTAAGAAAGAAAGAAAGAATTGTTGCGAGGTTCGTTACGATAGATCTGAGAAGATTCTTGTATGGATTTGCGCATTCATCATTCGGCGCTCCTCTTCATCTTAGGCAGCTCTGATGTATTGAATATTCGGTGAGAGCAAATGATCACAGCGAAGATGATGAAAAAACAATAGCAAGAATATATAACAACATAGTTGAAGTTGAATGCCTAGAGTACTCCCAAAGTTTAACGTCCAATATAGAAACTGTAAATTCTTGCAGAGAATAACGATCAAAGCACGAGAAACAGACAATTTTATTAAGTTCCATTTCTCTTGATTTCCATGATTTGCAAAAAGTTGTCTCATCTTCTTGTATATATACACAAATACCGAGATCTCATGATCAGATGAATCCTCAAAGTACCTCCCTTAATACGATTGATTCATAGACTCAACAATTCGTTAGCTTGGCTTCTCCTCACCGGATCGCTAGATCTGATTCATTATTTGATGATTCATACGCATATACGGATTGGGTTTCTCCTTGACTTGTTCCATAGTCTTGAAGTAAAACTCTATTCACTCATTGTTTCCTGCGCTATCGGTATAAGTAGCAGATGCTATGGAAGCTTTGCAGACGCTAAATTATCTATCCAACGCCAGTATCAGATTCGAAGGCGCGGAAGAGCGTACGATTTGCTAACTTTGATGATGCACATGTAGAGAGTTTGATAAGGACTCCTAAATCCTTGCTTTTATCCAATAAAGATTCAAGCACTATCATCGGTATAAATTCTTATTGTTACATTGTATGATATTGAGCTTCATTATCGATACATTCACACGCTGTCATTTATCTTAACTTCAGATGAACTACAAATGCCTCACAAATCGCATGTAGGAATCACATCTCGTTATTATTATTTCCCCTTTGAGTATATAGCATGCTATTTCTAATTGGCAGGGAAATCAATTCATAAAGATCCTCCATCAGAGATAATCTCACAAGTCTTGAACATCTGAATATGATTTTCGGGCCCATATATACTTAGGTAAGTAAGCTACCAAACTTTTACTTCGCATTCTCGGATATTCACCTTTGTTTCTTCGAATGACTACAAGGCACATATAAAAAGCTTTAATATGTTGTCCAAGTTAATAATTATAGAGTCCAAACTGACGTGGAACCTCCTCCAGGCGACTTTGAAGCTAGCATTCCTGCCGGTGAAGCCTTTGAAGAAAATCACAAGCCGGAGTTTCTGGCTCGGGTTTTGTCTTCGAAGTACCTGAGCTGTTGTTTTCGTATTCTCGTCTCTATTCCCTGTCATGTTATTACTGTCACTAGCAAGTACATATAAGTGATGGTGAGATGTCATGAATGATACTTATGTGATTGTATGGGATGTCGTATAACGAAGTGAGATTTAAGCGCTCCCGTAGTTGGGTTGGCCCCTCATATTCAAGCTAGTTTTCAGTACCTCTTCCTATGTATTCATAAGTGAGTTCGACCAAATGATCTGTGTTTTCTTGGCACAATGATCTCATATCGTTGTTAAACGAATACTGAGGTCAGAGATCCTACTTACAAAGACTTTTGTGAAATATGTTCAATGCCTAGCTGTCTGTTGTGACTGACTTCTACCTCTCTGACCAAATTCTCTAAACATTGATTCACATGCAAATCCACATACATTCACTCATTCATCCTTCAACGGCCTAGGTATCCTGGTATTCATTGTCTTCTGATTCTTCATTCCTATAAAGCAAATAATGCCCACTTGAACTGCCATTTCTATTACTGGGGGAAGTTTCCACGTATCATTCAACCAAAACCTATGGAATTCCAGACACGAGACATAAGTTACTCTCCTCTTTCGCACAAGCGTATTGAGACATGCGAGATCTGCGTCCACATACGAACTTTTGACACGGTGAGATATCATAGTATAGGTAGCTTCCAACGTCAAATGCCGCCGATGAAGTTTACTAAACTTTAGACAATCAATTTCGTGGATCCTTGGGCGACAAACGGATGGTGACCGTCTCTGCTGGAGTCGTGAAACATTTTTCGGCCGATGCAAAATGAAAACAATCTCGTTGAATTCATTTTCATATCTGCACCCATTAAGTAATCAATAGTGGAATCTTATTCTTATTTAATAATAATAAAGTTGTCTATTGAAAAGAGAGACTCGTATTCGTTCATTTATTCACATCAAAATATACCATTACCTTTATAATGATATTCTCAATAGGCGTCTTGGATGTGACACAATCTTCAGGTATCATACCCAAGTATGTAAGAATCAAGTGCTGATGATCGCCTAAGCGATTATATAAAATTTGTTTACTGAGAAAAGGGATGCATTGAACTTTTATTAATAAATATGATGAGCTAGCTATAAACAAATTTACTTGAATCGCTATTGCTCCCTTGACACCAGTGCTCGAAATATCTATGCACAGTGTCTTGTGATCATATCTAGTGGTACTTGTGTGAACAGTGAATGATTCACTACCCTCTACTTTTCATTTCCATTCTCCACTCCCATCTATAAATTACCACTTGATATCTTTCGGACCGTCTTTCTTCTGTAGACTCAAGTTCTCCAAAGATCTCCGAAGATCATAATGGTCGCGGTAATTGGAGAGTCGTGCAACAGTCGAAAGGGTAGCAATTTAGTCTTAGACGCCGCGTTAGTTAACAGCAATAATCTAACTTCAAGGATAAATTAAGAGAAACAACTGGATAGTGATATTTAATTGAGAAATACTCTACAGTATTGATCGTTGACAGCAGAAGTAATCTATTCGTTGAAATGTTTTACACTGCCACTTGTCACATAAGTATCTATCAATGCTTGTGTCATTGTCATTTCTCTCACAGAAAGAATCACAGATTTAAAATTGTGGGTACTTGAGTCCATATTACACGTACAAAACTCAGTTACAAATGTGTAGACGTTCAACAGATAGCTCAAAAATTATAACCTGGCCTTTAGTGTTGTCATAACCCCATTTCTTTTTGCACTGAAGTTTTTCGTTTGAGCTGAATATGGCCGTATTTATGGGCACCGTTCATTCCAAATCATTCTCCTGCTCTTTTCAGGTTAGTCTCTGATCAAGAGACAGGAATTCACTATAGCATGCGAATTATGGGTTGGGTGTGATATCCAGTGAACGAGAAAGACTTGCAAGGAACGAGTTCTTCCCATTGGAGTCAGCACCGAGAAGCATCTCGACACTGATATCTGCTATAAGAGAAATTTAGGGACTAGTGATTAATCCAACTTTATACAGAACTTCTCTATCCGGTTTCCGCCACCTGTTTCAAGAAGCAAAGACAAATACACAGGCTCAAGAGATTGAACTTCATTGTTGTCAATTGCTGACCTGACGTATACGTTGCCGCTCGCTCAAAACTCCAGACGAACAACCATTTAAAGGGAAATCATAAAATCATAGTCTTTCCAAAATTGATAGCGAGAGCTACCCATGTGCAATACTTTCTGAGAGATTGAGATATGAACTACGGTCAACAAACAAGAGAGGGGCAAGACGCGAGTTTTTGTAGTATTTCCATCTTTCTTGTCACAGTTTCGGAATTCAACGAGTAGGACTATGTGGTGAGTTTTTAAGCACTTCAAAAGATTCCCCAGCATTCTACCAGGAAATACCTAGGTCTGCGTTATTTGTCGACACGTTGATTCACCCCCTGGTGATTCACACTCTCTGAAGGTCTAGTTGAAATTCCACAAACTCCGTTCCTTTCTCCTCTTAGGCAGCATGCCTCCCTCCCTCCAAACCGTTTTGATGTTGAGGCCGCACTACTGCTATATTTTCAATTTCACCTTAATCTGTGGAGATTTCTATGCGTTACTGAGACACATTTTCTTCATAGAATTGATCCTAATAATAAAGTACTTCTATTATCTTCTCCAAAAACGTGCTTACGTCGTTCAATCCATCATAATTATATTGATTCTTCATCATTTCCTTGACAACTGTCAGCGTCTTTTTAAGAAACGTTCTCCCATCGCGTGATGTCTGATACTTTTGAAAGTCTACCGACTAATGATATGTCACGTCATGATCCTTTTCTCTTAGCAGAAACATAACAAATCAATCCATCTTCGTTTCCCATCATCTCTACATGCAAATACCGAATGTTGATGCTTGAAACTATTCGACCACATTGTGTCCCGGCTCTTCGTCTACCAGATCAACTCTCCAAACCATCATATTCAATCTTGATAAAATCTGCCAGGGCAACAAGGCTTTCCCAGCCTAGAACAGCTTGAAAATTCGAAAACAATTTATTCATGACTCTTGGGATTGACTATTACCACCAGCTTGATGGACTAAATACCAATGACGCGACTCTCGCACGGGCATATCCTTGATATCCATGGTCAACAAATCGTAGAGGAAACCCTGTCTATTGCAAAAAGGGTTCTCAATGACAGATAGATAGCCTTGGAGCAGGATTCATTGTTACGGTGTACCCCAAGGTTGTAACTCGAAGCCGGTGAGATGTAGATATATCTCTATGCCGTTGTCAAGATATTTTGCTGTCGTTCACCAATAGAAAGATTCGGGCTGGATGAGAATACCTTATGAAATTGGATGAAGGCTTTTGAATACACAGAAAGCAAAGTAAAAACATCATATTTCACCAGATCAAAGTAGAATCTTCAAGACCAAGACGCAATGTTCTTTTGGGGAGTGCACCAGTGTGACGTAGTGTTTGCTATTGAGAGTTGGACTATTCCAGGATAATCCAAGTTTCTAATCCTTAGAAATCATTCGTCGTTATGAGCACATTGAGCGTCCCTTTCTCCACACTGCGGACCAGAGTCATGACCAATAACCCTCATCTTCCGGCTCTGTCCCAGATCCTCTCATTTCCGTAGCTCCCTGGCATTTCTAACATGGTGTTAGATCATGATAGGCTAATATACCCAATAATCAACGTTTACCTCACATAGTCCTTTCGTATCTTCAATCTCCTGTCTCAGAAAGATACCACCGCAGTTTTCCGATGGCTGCTTGCATGGAATATCTAACGAAGGGCTTTGGTGAGTGCACTCAAATAATCGGATGACTTGATAACACATCTTGATTGCTTAGAAGTTGTCTCGCAGCGGCCAAGAAGAAATCCTCGTAGGTGATATCAGTCGTAACAGTTGATAAATGATCGTTCGCAAGACAGGCTAGATTTTGTGGACAAGAACAGAAGTGGATACATGGGACCTCTCCGCAAATGTATTCATAACCTAAATTTTGTCGGCTGTGGGACAAAGACGACAAGCTATTTGCTGAAGCGATTGTTCTTCTTTCGGGACTGAGGAGCAAACGAGCCGTCTTATGTCTTGCTACCGAAAAGTGCGCCTAACTTTGGTCGCATCAAACAATGTTTCAATTTTTGATAGCCGTTCCCTTGTGTGTCAAAATGACTTCCTTTTCATTCCGATCACCACCAGCATACTGCATCTCAACTTCTAAGCCTCCCAGGCCTTCATCAGCTGCCTTTCGGTTCCACAGTATCTGCATGATCTTTCCATCCGCTCCGCACAGTACATAACCCATCGGCCATTGACTCCTGCCTAGAGCTTCTCTTACACCTTTGGTTGCTGCTTGCTGCGAAACCAGAAACGCCATTACACTAGATGTTCTCCATCCTTGCGGAGCCCCTACAAAGGTGCCTTCTAATTCACGAGCTTGAGCTGGTTTCATTTTGGATGCAAATGCTTTGCATTGTATAAGGACTTTTAATGGTTGGGGAGCTGTAGGTAATGACCAAGTTCCAAGAAGATCAATGCCACAGTCTGATCTTCCACCAACTTGCCTGAGAGACATCCCCAATCGCTCCAATGCTTGCTTGACCATATATTCATAATGAGTGCCTACATATGTAGTACTGCCTGTGTCCATGTTGTTGCGTGATGCATATTCTAGAAAACTGGGCAGATCATGATGTTCTGCATTCTGTAAGTTAGGATGTGCTATATCATCCACTTCGGCATTAGTTTTAGATGCAGTTACAGTTGCACTGTTTGCAAAAAATCTGCGTGATGATTGCTTGCCCCATCGCAAGAAACGCAGATAAGAACGTGGTAAAAACATGGAGATTGGCTGAGTTTGCTAGTATCATGTGACTAGCATAATCCTCCACAGTGTAGTTCGTCCTGAGTAATGCAAAACGGATGTGAAAGCGGGCTCTGATTGGGTACCTGCATACACTCTTTCGGAAAGAAAAACGAGCGGCAGGAATAAACATGTACCTATGTAGTGTGAGAATGTTTTGTACATATTTTTACCTTTTCTGATATCGATGCTCGGAAACCGGAAATTATGTAAGGCTACGGCCGATGATCTTTAGTCAGCTAAACCCTTTACGGACATCTCCCCGCATAGGATTATCTGCAAGGCTGACATCAATTCGTGTAAGCTCTGGAGCATCGGTTTACAACACTGATTTGCCTTTCTCTATCAGCAACAAGTCATGGCTGATCGATTGACACAACTTCAAGAAGCAATTGACGAGGTCTAGTTTATTATTAAAAAGCATCCACGTTCAACCACTGACTGACATTACTTAGCTCGCTCTTCAATTCGTCGCATCGCTCGTATGGATTAACAAGCACCATGACTACCAAATTCTCAGCCCAACCGACATGGTCCGAAAAGATACCAAGAAGGACGAGTCCGGCGAAGCATTGCCAAATGAAGACGGCTGTGAGATTGCCAGCCCCTATCATATGCCGATTTTGACTCACCCTTTTACTATAGTAGAGCCATTACCTGCGGACAAATTCAAAGAAGGCCAGCTAGAATTAGCCCGGGATCTCATCATCAAGGAGCAGCAAATTGAGGTGCTTATATCTGCACTGCCGGGACTAGAAGACAGCGAGAACAAGCAGCACCAGACGATCCTAAGATTGGAGCAAGAATTGAAAGAAGAAGAAGAGAGGAGAAAAGAGGCTTTGAAGGAAAAAGAGGCCGTTCTGGCGAGGTTGGATGGAGTTATAAGGAGTGTGAAGAGACCGTGAATTGACCGCTATTGAGCCCTTCATTCGAATATATTATACCTGCAAAATTCGGCGTTTGGGTAAGCACAAGGCGTTTAGGAATATGGAAGTGGTCAGAATGGGAGTCTGACGACAGAAAAGTCTGCGATCGAGCGGTGTGTCGCAAATCTAGACAGTCGACTGTTCTCAGCTCGTTACATTCGTATAAACACACAATTTTGTCACCCGATAGGACTGTGGCACTGCAACCCTGGCTGATGGAAACCGGTTTGCTTTTTAGACAATAGTAATACTGCGTTATAAGATGTAGAATGAAAATAATTGAGATAATTTCGAAGTAGCTCAAGAAGGTCTATGTATTATGTATTGATCTAGTCTATTCTACGGAAGAACAAACGAGGGACTCTCTTATTGTCCACTTTATTAATGAGAACTACTTCCCTTAGGGAATGTTGAATACTTCATGTCACATCATCGATGCTTTATGTAGTGGTGAAAAACTGTGGGTAGACAGTCCTCAGCTCTTCCAAAGTGCTGATTTGGAAATTTGCTACTGGCTTAGCAGGTGATTTCACACCTTCCTCAACCAAGTGAGCTGCTGTCCAACCAAGTTTATAAGCCGCCTCGCAATTTATGAGCGAGTCATCTGAAATGTGTGAGTAGCAGTATGATAAAATTGGGTTCAGAAAGAACCTACCGACAAAATAACAGTCTTTAAACTCCTTTACTCCAGCTTCGCTCATGGCCTTTTCGAACGATTCTTTGTACGGTTTACAAACCATTTTTTCCTGAGCGTAATCACAGTATGTCATACCCTCAAACAAATCTTCTACCCCGAGTAGACGGACAACACGTTTTCCATGGGTAACATAAGCATTGGTGAATAGCCAGAGCTTGACTTTGGACCGATCAATGTCCTCGAGGAGCTTGCGGAGCTTTGAATCAACTGAAAGAATGCTTTCTAATGGGACGGCATCGTCTACTTGACGATTATATTCCAGAGCATCAATCTTGTGGTGACGTACTAGACCTTCGATGGCGAGTCCATAGGTTTGGTAGTATTCTTGATGGAGCTTATAGGCATCTTCTCGACTAAGCTCGAGATGTTTCATGAAATAGACATCGATCAAATCGGTCATGTGGTCATGAACCTTTTTACCTACGGAGTGTGTTGCGTTAGTCAATGCATTGGAGGATTATGTGTGGATGTGGCAAAAGAGAGTTTCGTACTCTTGGAATATAGCTATGAAGAAGATTAGCAATCGTAAAATCGTATCAACTATAAGTATTGGCTTACACAATTATCAATATCAAAGAAGAAGACAGGTCGCGAATCCCCCATCTTGTTGGTGGTGAAATGAGAGTTGATAGGGGTAGGTGTGGAGAAAGTAGTAATTGGTGATCTAATTGCTCTAGTAATGGTGTATGTAGGTTGTGAAAGGAAAGTGCGAGTTCTAGCACATTTGAAGATGCTATACATTGATTAACAAAAAACTAAGAGAATGTGGAGAGTGTCGGGTTATAATAGTATGTATCTAAAGAGTCATTCGGGGAACATCGATGCCGGCCGATCGGATATTCACTTTAGTACGGATCACTTTAGTACGGATGCTGTGTCAATTCTATGGTAGAGTCCACGCTTAGTCATACAAGTCTGCACCTACCCATTCATTTTCTAGCCGACATAATTTCTCGACCTTCTTGACATTCAACCTTGTTCCTTAAAAATATCGACACGAATAATCGTTCAAACAACACAACTTTGGCATTTATAGTCAATCATCAATTCATTTATTAGACTCAATACTTGCATACGCAATAAGTCAGTTTCTTGTATTGCTGATTAATTTAATTGCTCACTATTTTCAAACATGGCCCAAGGGGCTGTTGCGTTTGTGCCGACCAATGGCACAAATGGTGTAACACTGACAACAGAGAATATTCGTGAAATTCGGGAGTACGAGAAGATAATTTCATTTCGAGATGCTGTTCTTGCAGGAACTCATCCTCGCGTCAAAGTCCCTTCTCATATTGTAGGAGTGGGAAAACAGAGCAGTCTAGCTCGTAATACATCATCACCTAACACATCAGCAATCCGCGCAAATGCGCAAGCAGCCATCGACTCGGCATCATCCTCGAAGAGCCATTCACCAGTCAATTATCGTGCTGCCGCGGCAAACAGCCACATTGCGAAACAGTCAGTATCTACGATTTCTAATAAATCTGTGAAAACTTCAGAGATTAATCCAATTCTGTTGGAGAAATCTGACGATCTTATAAAGGCGGAAATACAATTGCAAAGGCAGAGATTGGAAAGAGCTCTCAGGGAACAAATGGACCAACATCGTTTGGCCCAAAAAGCTTTGCTTCAGACATCTGAATCCCTCCCCAATTTTGATCTCACCGAAGTTTTGCAAAAAGCTCTTGCTATAGTTCATCCCGCCACGGCTCCAGAAGTTGAACCTTCTGTGGGTGCTGGAAGTGACTCGTTTGATGAAAACTCTTTCTATTCTAGTCAGCATGATACCCCTGAGCCATCCAATTCATCGCATAGCCACAAGCCAACCCTTAGCGGGCAAGTACGCGGTGAGGTTTCGATTGAAGAATCGGCAGCTCAATCTGATCCTACAACCAATGTTGAAGACAATGATGTGGTTATGACTGGTAGTTTACTATCCCAAAATAATCATCTAGAATCTCAGACACATTCACAATCACAGTACCGCCCACTAGGAATCCAGAATAATCATTCTGCTGAACAACAGTCTCCAAATGATTTTCGAGGAAAGGTTGTCCAAGAACCACCATATTCCAAGGGTGTACCACGTAGAGTATCGGGCATTGTTGATCTTTGCCAAGACAGTACGAGTACAGGCTCTGAAAGCGCAGGTTCTCAGCAGATAGGTGATGGAGTGGCCCCATCAAAGGCATCTCAAATGGATTTGCAGCAACCACTTAACACCCGAGCCCATAATCTATCTCCCCTGGCACCACAACCTGCTCGTGTCTCACCATTGGCTACTGCAAGAGACCCCCCTATTCTAAGAGACGCCCTTCCCGTTAATGAGGCACAACAACCTCAAGTTGCTGCGCTTCGAAATGCAGCCTCGGGTTTATCCAGTGCAGAAAGTTCCCCAAATGGACCAAAGATTTCAGAGAAGAAGAAAGGAAAGAAGAAGAAGCGTAAGGCTAATGATAGTGGCCAAATCGGTACACCTGATTCTCCATACATCAAGGCAGAACCCCGTTCACCATCCCCATTTGCTGCTGTACCTTTACCACGACCACCAAAGAGACAACGACAGTCAGGACAATACGCGTCAGAACTTAACTATGATGAGCCTAGATATGAGCCAGTTGAGGTGATTCCGGAAGCCACTTCCAAAAGATATGAAGAAGTTCGAGCTCCCGTGCGTTATGAGGGAGGTTACCCAGATCGATATGCAGAGATTCGACGACCAGAACCCATATATCAACGCGTGGAGCGCGATGAAGTCGAGTATCAAAGGGTTGATAGCGGAGGACAGTATACAAGAAGACCAGCGTCTCCGGTTTATGCTTTACCATACTCTCGGCCAATTAGAGAAAGCTCTCATGCAATCGTGGACCGACAACTTATTGAGGAACCTAGATATTACACCGAAAGAGAACGACCTGTATTGTCCAGAATGAGTGTCCGCCCAGATGCTGATCGCGAAAGGTCTCGATCGCCGATTATGAGAGAAAGAAGATCACCAATTCCAATGGGACCTCCGCGTCAACCTGTTAGGATCATTGTTGATGCATATGGCCGTGAGTATATTGATCCCACTCCCGCACCTTCAATGCGTCAGTCAGTTGCACCAATTGCCAGAAGGCATGACGACGGAGAGCTGTATTATGAGCGTGCCCCTGTTAGAACCATGTCTACTCGCCCACCAGTAGAAACATTTGAAGAGGATGGTGTGTTATACAGAAGAGCCTCTCCCATCGTTACTGCCCCACGACGTGTCATTACACAACCAGAGTACGCCCAGCCCGAATATCGCTCATACCGTGAACGAGAATATTCAGTTCGCCCAACTCCAATGGGACCACCAGGCGAAGAATATGTTAGAGTTAGGGCTCAACCTGAGCGTCGTCAAGCCAGTCACTACGATGAAGCTCCTCGTGAGTATTTGTCTCGACCACAAAGCGTGCGACCAGAAGCCATTAGATATGAAGTCCCTAGAGAATATGTGGGAAGACTTTCTAGTGTCCGACCCGAGGCTCCTAGGGAGTATGCTTCAAGTGTTCACCCTGAAGTTCGTCGCGAGGTTATGGCACCTCCTCGTCGAGAATTTAGCGTTCGTCCCACGGAGATAATTCCTCGCAGTCATCAGCCTGCAGCAGCAGAAGGTGAGAGATATTATGAATTGGAGAATCAGAGGCCGGCTATTCTAGAGAGGCCTCGGGAACGCGAAGGTTCGGTGTTCATTTATGCAGATGATGTACCAAGAAAGGTGTACCGCTGAAATTCGTAACAATCCATGGAAGCCAAGACTGAATGCAGCGGTATCCAACCGGCAGTCTGTTCCGATTCGATTGTGGCTGATATCATACCAGGTGAGGTGTGTGGGTGGAGAAACATGAAGGGGTAATGTGGCGTAATGGGCTTGGAGGAATTTTGTGTGGTTTATTAAACAGCCGTCTTGGATTGGATATCAGGGTTGTAAATCATCAGTGCAATCAGAAGCAAGTAATTATAAATATAAGTCATTGTACAACTATCATCATGCCCAGTGCCGTAACATATCAAACTCAATCAATCTATGATTAACGTGAAGATTGCCATGATTGAACGAATGCAACATCGGCAAACTATTTTAGTAATCAAACCAGACCAAAGCAAACATCTCTCAGCGAAGTACCTTGCAACCGATAGTTAACTAACACAGCATACTTTAAGTCTTGAACCAAGCACGAGCAAGCATGCATCACTAACAATACAAAGTCCGGGGTCTAGACCGAACTTTGAGTTTGGACACTGAGTAGCAGGTAAGCTGTTCTGTAGGTATTTCCGTTTTTGGGCGTTTTTGTTTATGGAGCACACACACACGCTGGAACTGGTGGACAGAAACAAGAATACCAAGTCATGTTTCAAATGGAGTTTTGATGGAATGTTTTCCTGAGGGTTTTATGGAGTGCAGTGGGGATTTTATGTTGATTGATGGATTGATGGATTGATGGATTGATGAAAGATGGATCTTCCGATTCAATTTACTTTTGGGGGGAAAAGGAAGAAGAAGAAGAAGGAGGAGGAGGAGGAAAGGGATTAGTAAGCGAGATGTACTAGGTAAGGCGACTGAAGTCGTTGTTATGAGAATCATGAGATATGTTGAGGCGAAGCAAAAGCTGGGTCCAGATTTATAAGTTGGTAGTTGGTCGGTAGGTAGGTACTAGGTACTAGGTAGCTAGTGGACCCAAAAGACGAAATGGATGATCATTACTGTGATAGGGATGTAGGGTAGACGATCTTGAGAATGTGTGTGTGTTTTCTCTTTTGTTTTTTTATTATTCTCTTGGGAGGTTTGCGGATTGCGGATTGGAGGGGTTTTTACTCGAAACTTGGAACGATTTTATTGAAACGGATTGGGGTTTTGTGGGGGGGGGAGAGGATTTTTGTGGTTGTGGTGGATGGTGGATGGAGGATGGATGGGCAGGAAAGAAAGGAAGGGAAGGATGTTGAAATTATGTTTATTATATCTTCTTTTGTTGATATAATTTATTATTTATGTTAGGATGTGATATGGTAGTTGGATGATTGTAGAGGGTACTCTCACATTTGGTGTAACAATGTTCACATCATCGAGTACGTCGGTAGGTAGGTAGTGGCGGAGGAGATGGTTGTTAGAGCGGCAACGGTGTGGGAAATTGGTGGGAGGTTTGTAACTTATTACAGTTGACCCAATTGCCGTTGGGTGATGTCAATTTGTTTTGATTGTCGTTGTAGATGAAGTGACGATAGTATTGATTAAATCTATCGATGCACCTCGTGATCTGATATCGACCGTTCATAAGAAGCAATGAAGAATTAAGAAGACTCGTTTATTATTGCCTGTACACATACATGCTTCCATCCATTGTTACTGTTTTGTTTCTGCGGGAGACTCTAAAAGCAAGGAATCTATCTGTACCTACCTAGTAATTACCTACCTACCTGTCGACGATAGTATCTATCCATCTATCCCTCAATGAGTATACCAAACAACTACAAATAATACCGTACGATATTGGGTTTTCCTTACCGACCTTACCTACCTACTACCTAGGACGTAACAACATTCCCATCCGTCCATTCATTCCATAGAGCAAGTTCTCGCGAGTGGCCTACGGGTGTCGATCCTACCACTACTGTTCGTCATTGACTCCAGCTCGTCCAGTCTAATCAACACCTACCTAGGAAGTATAGGATTGGAATTCTCTCTCTTGCCTCGTTGTTCATTCAGCTATACTGGGTCTTGGCCTCCTAGTTCCTTAGAGATTCCTTTCTTCTCCAATCCAATCCAATCATATCAAGAAATTTCAAGCTTTCTCACTA